TGGTGGAAGTTGTAGTCCCCACTTCTAATTTGGGGTGTCTGGGCGCGTTGTTATCCTTTGGGCTCGCGCTAGAAGTGTCTGCAGAATTATTTCGTGGGGATGGTCGGTGGAAGTGGGCAGTGGAGGTTAAACCTCTGCGGATATGGGGGAGACTTTGTGCAGAACTATGAGTCCCTTTGCGTTAAAAATGCTTTTGCCATACCCCTTCCCCCACTCCCGAAGCAATTGAAAAGCTTTTTAGGTTTTAAAAAGCCGTGAGGCAGGGGCTTGAGCGCTACCGCTCAAGTCCTCAAATACCGTGCGGCTGAATGATCCCGGCCACCCTTGTTCTCCATTTGTATGGAACGGATTTTGCGAGGTGGGATGGGAGATGCTGATGCTTACCATCAGCGTCCTGAAAGACGCCTCTTGACGTTGAGATAATTTGCACACCATAAAGGACACCCGTTTAAGTGTGTTGTTCACAGGTTTTTAGTATATTTCGTGCATCCCATGTGTGCCCATGTTTTAATTTCTCTTGAGTAGGAATGGGATAACCAGAATTCTCAGTTTAATTTTTTTGAGACAAGTGCCAAACTCTTTTTCCAAAGTAGTTGCACCATTTTAATCCCCACCAGTAATTTGAGGGTTTCCAGTTCTCCACATCCTGGGCAATTATTACTGTTTTTTTATTGCAGCCGTTCTAGTTGGCTTGAAGAGGCATTGTTCAGGTGTTGATTTGTCTTTCCCCGCTGGTTAAAGATGTTAAACATAGTTGTTGGTCATTTGAACAAATGTATCACTTTTTAATTGGTTCATTTATCTTATTGAGTTGTAAGAATTTATATAAATTTGTCTTTTTCTTTTTTCTTTTTAAAAACACAAATTAAGATTCTTCTTAAAGCTAGCAATGGAGTGGGAGTTTATAACTTTGGAGTCATATAGTCTGGATCAAAACCAAAAGAGGCTTTTCCATTTATAAGCATAAAGCAGATCTTGGACAAATGAAGGGATTACTACTGTCCGACTGCCCTGGACTTCAGTAAAATGGGGTAATGGTGCTTAACTCTTAGGGTCTCTGTGAGGACTCAAGAAGGCAGTCACTACCTATTTAGCAGCTGCACCTGGCAGGCCCTCAGCACGTTCTCCAGATTTATGCTGGGCGTTTGCTTGGGAGATATTGGTGCCTGCCCTATTCCAGAAGCCTATAGTTTTTTCCAGAGATTATCAGGAAACTGGGACTAACACCCAGAGTCCTGGTTCTGCCCACAGACCTCCCCATTTTCATTTATCCATATCTCAGCCTTAATTCTGTTAACCATTTTTAGTTCTATTAAGATTTAGTTGTGTCTGAAACTGTTGTTTCCACCCACAGCTGGGAGCAATTTAGAGGAAAGAGTTACCGTTTTCCTTTGTTTTTATTGTCTTAATTTGTTTTTCCTAAAGTAAAAAAAAAAAGTCATTTAAAATGACACTGACAACCTCCTTAACTGTAGGAAAAGAACCAAGGCTGTGGAGTTACAGAGCTGGGCTCTCTCAGTAGCTTTTGAATTTTAAGCAAATCATCTGATGTCCTTGAGTATTAGCCATTTCAGCTGTAAAATGGGACAGTGATGCTCACAAGGTCCTAGGGAAGGGTCAGTAAGAAATCCAGAAAAAGAAAAAAACAAGCAGTGGTGACCATTTATGGAACTCTTATCCACTGCAGGTGCTTTAAGCACATGCTCTCACTTCACTTGGTTGATGGCAGTGGTGTTTGATTGCCACTCAATAGACACAACGTGTGTGCCTAGGTTTTCAGGCTGCACTGACTCCAAAAGCTGCTTCTAATTCCAAAAGTCTAGTTCTCTCCCCAGGCTGGCCACTTTGCAGAGGTAGGTGTGGATTTAAAGTTGCTCTTACACCTGTGTTTGCTTTCCATTTGCTGTTATAGTCCCACTTTTGAGGCGATCTGGGCTAATCTATTTTCAGGTCAGCAGATTAGCAACCTTGATTTCCCTTTTGTGTAACCATACATGTGTGACGTGGTGATTTTTAAGTAATATATTTGGTTTTCTTCCCCTTTGTGGGGCCAGATCTAAAACACTGTTAGTTTCCTAAGTGATAATAGCAATGGAGTTGACTTTTGTTATGTTAATGAGGCGATTTAGTAACCCCAAGCTCTAGGAAAGATAGGCTCGGGGCTAGTTGCCTAAAGATTCAACCAAATGATTCTGGGATTGGAATTTTCAGCCTCTGGGTGGGGGGAGTAGAGCTGGCAGTTGAATTGCTGTTGACCTTTGAACAGTGCACTTGTTAGGGTCATCCTCTTTCCACACTCAGGAATTTGAATATAACAGCCACATATGTGTTCCCAATCCAAGGATACAATCAACCTGCATCTGAGAATGGCTGAATCTGAATGCAGAGCCGGAAGGTAGAAAAAAATCTGTGTTTAAGTGGACCCCAAGTCAAACCCTAGTCGTCCACGGTCAGCTTTTTTTTGCCAGTGACTAATGACCTAGTCAGCAGTGACTCTTCAGTGAAGCTGCCATAGACCCCAAAAGGACAGGGTTAGAAGAACTGGGAAGGTTGGAGAGGACATGGAAAACCTTTTGCCCTTATCTGCCTGAGTTATGTCCTTCCTGAGTTATGACCTTTTATAATAAACCAGTGATCTAGTCAATGAGATGTTTCTTTGAGTTCTGTGTAGTCACTGATGGAGACCAAGGAGGGGGTAGTTGGAACTTCCCACCTGTGGTCAATCTGTGAAGCACTGACCTGGATTTGTGATGGGCATCTGAAGGAGGTAGAGCAGTTCCCGTGGATTCTGGGTAGGGAGTGTCCAAATTGAGTTGAACCGTAGCATACCCAGCGGGTATTGAGAAATTACTTGGTGTGGGGAAACACCATCCTCACCAACATTGGGAGTGGTGGCCAAAACCCTTAATAGTTTCTGGAGATTAGAAGAGGCCACTCTGGGGGTGCTGATTCTGCCTGCCAAGTGCCTTACGTGGTAGTGGTAGTGAATGTCCCAGTGTTCTGCTAACTGATTGATTGACCTTACAGGTGATCCCGTTGGACAGAAACAACAGCATGTAAGTTGCTTTCTTTTTCTGATAAACTCATTCCTCTTCATCCCATTCCATGCCTATTGATTCTAACCCTACATGTGCTTTAGCTCTTAGCAATGAAAGAGGTCCAGTAGTAGAGGGCTTCCTGGCTTGGGAGGAGGCAGGGAACCCCTCCGTTGGGAGTAGGGGTGGAGACTTCTGCAGGACCCTGCTGCTTGTATTCAAGCTCCTCTTGTGGAGCTGGGGCTTGCGAGGTGCAACACTGAGACCTGTGTTTGATAGGTCCTGGAGCAGCGGTGACTTCCGACCCCCTGCTAAACTATTTGGGAAGAATGGAGTGTTGGAGGAACAGAAATCTCCACGTGAGTTAGCCTGGGGGTTGATTGGTGTGGGACCTCAGTCTGTAATCTGGATCCAAACGAATCTGTAGATTTCCCTTGTTATACTAAAGTTGAACATTCCCATGAAATCAGAATGGCAAAGAAGCAATTGTCATAATGCATAGGGACACATTTTTCAGTGCTCCAAGGCCCCAGAAGAGCCTGTCAAATTGTACCAAACAACATGTACAACCTAAAATAACACTAATGTAGTAAAAGCAGAATAAGATAAATACATATACAGCCTGTTTAAAGTAGTCCCCGGGGAAGGTCCGTCGCACTGGTTGGGGTGCACACACCTCTAGAATGGCTGCTAAAAAATTGACACTGAATGCCCTTTTCCCTTTTCACCCTTTGCTGTAATCAGGAATCCTCAGATTCCTTTTGGTTAACGAGAACAGGTACTAGTGTAGGCCTTTCATAAAAGTGACGTGTAGAGTGAAACTTTGAAAAATGGAGGAGACCTGTAGTCCGTTTCTGTTTAGGCATGAGCTGTGGGGTCCTCCTAGACTCTGCTCTTGCTCCCGTGAGCCACCATGTCCTGCCCCAGTGCAGACCTCATTCATTGTTGCATTTGCTGCTTTGCTCCAAATGCTGTTTTTTTTATCTTGTCTTCTTCCATGTCACCCTCCTCCATGTCTGAAGTGGTCTTTTTTTAAATTTATATTTATTTATGCATACAGAACTGGGGTACAGGCCAGAGGTGCAGGCACAGTGAGAGGATTCACTAGAGACAGAGCAGGGAGCAGAGCCAGCAGACTGACAAAGTACACTGCCAAGTGGTCGGGTCAGGAGAGGTCTGCTGCGCCATGTGGGTCACCTGTGGGGCAGGAATCGAACTTGCACAGCAGTGGCTTCAGAGAGCCCAGCAGCACTGTGCTTTAACCTGTTAAGCCACCAGGGAGGGCCAGAAAATGTTTGTATTGAGTACCCGTGGAAAGAACACCGTGGATATGTTGTTTTAAATGAAAGATTATTGTGCGAGTCTGCCTGTTTAATTTTATTACATCTAAAGGCACCTTTGTACAGTGCTTGTTCCCACCAATATTCCACTTGCGAACCCCAACCCTACTCCTGGGCTTGCTGGCCCGCTCCCATCACTCTGACTCCTCCTGCACACCCCAGATCAGTGGTGGGCCCACGAGCCTGGTCCTTGACCCGGTGTTCCTGGGCCACAGAGCAGGCTGCTCTGATCCCCAGGAGCAGCAGGGAGGCGGTCAGAGGCAGAGCTGATCAGAAGCCCCTCGCAGGGCGGGCGTGTGGAGCGCTTCTCGGACTCCATGTTGGAACTTGCTACGGAGCAGGAGGCCGCCCTGTTTTCTCCCGGTGTGAGCTCTGGGTTCCTCAGCAGCCAGGGCTTAAGTCTCCACGCCTCACGTGTGTGCATGTGCTGGCACCTCTGCCTGCACCCCCTTCCTGTCCACCTCCTCTCGTCCCCCGCTCAGCTGCATGTTACCCCTGGCACACGGTGTGGACACTCCACATGGTACCCCAGGGAAGGGCTGCACTCCCGGTGTGCTGACGGCCCTGTGCGTGCTCCCCACCCTGGCCCTGGCGCCTAGGGCCAGCACTCCACGCTGGGCCCTTCTCTGACTTTGATATGTGCTTGCTGTATAGCCGGGAACGCAGTAAGCAGCCAGTGCTCCCGAGGGACAGTAGGCGAGTGTGTGCTTAACACTGAAGGAATCATGTCCTGCCTCACCTGTTCTGACTCCTCTGAATCCACTTAGCGCAATCTGCCTTTTTTTTTTTTAAAGATTTATTTTATTTGTACATACAGAACTGGGGTACAGGCCAGAGGCTCAGGGGTGGCGAGAGGCTTCACCAGAGACAGAGTGGGGGGCAGAACAGGCAGATGGACGAAGTACACTGCTGAGGGGAGCAGCGGGCGGGTCAGGAGAGGTCTGCCTCGCCATGTGGTCTCCTCCGGGGCAGGCGGGAATCGAACTCATGCGGAAGCGGCTTTAGCTTCTCAGTGTAGTGCTTTAACCCGCTGCGCCACCAGGGAGGGCCGCAATCTGCCTTTTTAATGTGGTTCTTTTCTTAGGAATCAAGCGGAGAGAGACGCAGGTGTATGTTGGCAATCTTCCGCTGGACATCTCTGAGGTATTCTTCACTCTGTGAACACCTGCTTATCTTCTTGTTCGCCCCATGTGGCTAATTTACCTGCCATAACTTAATTTTGTCACTTATGAAGACATTTTAGGGCTGAGCATGTGCAAGCCGTCGCTGGCGGGGGACGGGGAGACCATCTCCTTGCGGTCTGCCTTGGACACCCCAGGCCCAGCACGGGGAGGCCTGCCAGGTGGACCCCCCTATAACCTGGACGGTTGGTTGCCTGGTGTGTCCCTCTGGACAGAGAGGCGACGGTGAGGCAGCTCCCTCGGGAAGGGGCCTCGTTAGAGTTCAGCTGTGGCTCCTTCATGGTCAGGAGCCGTCAGGCATCTATTTTGAGTGAGTCAGGGCGGTCAGTCACTTTGGACTTGAAGTAGAAAGTATTTTGACTCCGGGAATCTTCCTGTCGGGGTAGGTCAGATGGACAGACCTGAAATAATTATAGGACAACACATACTTAACCTTCATAAGTAGTGTATGTGAAGCACAGGTGAAAGGAAAATGGGAGTGCAGTTTATCAAGCTGAAACAGCCTGGCTTTTTAGTTACGCTTTTGCGCCAAGCGATGACTGAGGTTTACCATGCTTGAAAGGAAATAACCTAACCCTTGTCCTAAAGGAGCAGTATCTGGGAGGGATGAGAAGAGCCTGCTGCATACATTTGCCAACGATGTCCTGGCTCCATGCCCCTGCCAGTCAGTCAGCTAAACCAGATCTCTACCAAGCTGCACCTGTTCCTTAGATACTGTTGTATCCATTGCTGTAGTAGTAGCCCCAGGTAGGCGTCAAGAAATAGGCTAAATGCTTCCTTAGAGTGGGTTTACTACATCCTTACATTAAGAATTTATGTGGCTCCTGGGTGGTGTCTTCCTCTAAGAGATGAGGCGGCCCAGGCTCCACGTGGTCCACTTCCTCAGCCCAATGCACAGTCCTGGTCAGTGGGCAGCTGAGAGTTGACCCCATGTCCAGTTGCTCCCCACGTACAAAGTCATGGAACCAGCAGGACACATAAATAACTCACCGTAATAAAAGCTGGACCTGTTATGTTTTTATCTGAGAGAAGAAAAACTGTACTCCAGCATGGAGAATGAAATAATTCATTTTGACCCGTTGAATGCAGTTCATACTCAGCCAAAGGAGTGGGTTGGGAGATCTTGCACCTGATAGAAGAGAGTGTTGGGACAGAGCCCCTCTGCCTCCTGGCAGACTGGCACAGCCTGTTACTGGGCAGTGAAATGGGGACAGGAGCTCCAGGCACGATCTCCACAGTGGTCTGGGGGTGGCAGGGTATTGAGAAGCTGCACCTCCTCTCCCCCAGAAACTGTTTCAAAGCCTAGCCCCTGGTGCCTGCTGGGCAGTGGTGTGGGTGACCTTTGGGCCTGCTCCTGAGGGCCACAGGAAAGCCTTCCCCCAGTGTTTACTTTCAACACACAGACTTAGGCCAGCTTCATAGGAAAGACTTGAGCTAAAGAAGTAGGATTTGAAAAAAAAAATTTTCTGACAATAGCAATGCCTTCTTGAGAAATAACTGAGACAACTTACAAACCGACAAATTATTAGTAAATACCAAGTGTTGGTATTGGTAGAAGGTGAAAGTCTTGAATCAGAAATGAAGGGTGATTTGTTACTTGTCGCAATCACAATAACCAGCATTCTTTTTTTACTTTCCCTTGCATTGATATTTCTTTTTTATTGAGCTATTCTTTACATACCATAAAGTTCACTATTTTATAAGCATGCACTTGAGCGATTTTTAGCATATTCACAAGGTTGTGCAGCCATCACCACTAATTCAGAATACTTTTATTGCATCTCCCCCAATAAACCCTGTGCACGTTAGCAGGCACCCCCTCTCTCCTTTTTCTCCAGCCCCTGGGAGACAACCAATGACTTTTTGCCTGCATTCTGGACTCACGGAAAGGACCTCACACAGTGTGTGCTATTTGGGGTTTTCTCTTGCTTAGCAGCATATTTTCAAGGTCTACCCACGTTGCAGCAAGGGTTCGTGCTTCATTGCCTTAAAACACCGAATGATACATGGGTTGTGTAGCTCTTTCTCCATGGATATCTGGGTTGCATCCACTTTTTGCCCATTCTCACTAGTGCTGCTCTGAACCTTTTGTGTTTGTGTAAACACATGTGTCTGGTTCTCTTGGCGATAAACCTAGGACTGGAATTCTTGGGTCACGTGATAACTTTATAGGTAATTTTTTTTTAGGGGAACTGCAAACTGCTTTCCAAAACAGCCATACCATTGGCATTCACATCAGCAGAAGGATTCCAGTTTTTTTATTTCCTCCCTCACCAAAACCTGTTGTCTTTTTGATTATAGCTTGCTAGTGGCTGTGTCATTGTGGTTTTGCTTTGCATTCCCTTAGGGACTGAGATGCATATTTTCATGTGCTTTTTGGCCATTTGTATATCTTTGGAAAAATATCTACTCAGATCCTTCGGGTAACTGGTTTGCCTTTTTATTATTGAGCTGTTAGAGTTTCCTATATAACCTAATACAAATCTCTTGTCGGGCATATGATTTACAGTATCTTCTTTCTTTTATACGGTCTAAAATAGCCTCCTCGACACACAGTCTTCTGTTTTGATGCCATCCAGGTTCTGTTTTTCTTTGGTTGCTTCTGCTTTAGGTGTCATGTATGAGAGAGTTTGGTAGTTTGAGTTTTTATGTTTTGATTTCCAGTCTTTTAAAAGTTAGTCCTTTTTGGGGGGCTCTCCCTGGTGGCATAACGTGTTAAAATAACACATTATGAAGCTCTATGAAGCCACTGCAGCATGAGTTCAATCCCCACCCTGGAGGTGACCCATATGGCGCAGCAGACCTCTCCTGACCTGCCTGCTGCTTCCCTCAGCAGTGCACTTCAGTAGATCTTCCTGTTTTGCTTCCCACTGTGTCTCTGGTGAGTCCTGACACCCACCACACCTCTGGCCTGTACCCCAGTTCTGTAAGCATAAATAAATAAATATTTTTTAAAAATAGTCCTTTTTTAAAAAAAAATTATAATAGTCCTTTTTTTAAAAAAAGATTTATTTTTACATATACGACCTAGGGTAAAGGCCAGAGGTGCAGAGATGGTAAGAAGATTCACCAGAGAGAGTGGGGAACAGAACAGGCAGATGGACTAAAATACACTGCTGAGGGGAGCAGCAGCTGCACGAGGAGAGATCTGCTACGCCACGTGGGTCACCTCCCCAGCTGGGGATCGAACCCATGTTGCAGTGGCTATGGACAGCTTCATAGTGCTGTGCTTTAACCTGTTGTGCCACTAGGGAGAGCCCAAAAAATTAGTTCTTTTGTATGATGTGAGGTTGGGGTGAGTTTATTCTCCTATATGTAGATACCCAGTTATCCCAGCAACATTTGGTAAATGTTAGATGTTAATTTTGCTACTCTCCCCAGGGAATTTCTTAGAACCCTTGTCAAAAATTAGCTGACCTTAAATGTAGCAGTTTCTGCATGGACCCATTTCTAGTTTATTGATCTGCATATCTGTGTGTTTTTATGCCAGTGCTATATTTGTTTACTATAGTTTGGCAGTAAATTTTGAAATGTCATTCACCCACTCTTGAACTCACTAGTTTGCTTTCTATACTCACCAGTTTTCTTAAACTGATTTTGCTGAGTATATAAATAACCTATATGTTGCCAAATGACTTAAAAACTTTCATATGTCTCCATAATTATGAGAGATCAGATAACCCGAAAATCCTCTCATTAGAAAATACTTGGAAATGGAGGTTACCATATAAGAGATACTTTTTTTTTAAAAAAAAGATTTATTTATTCATACAGAACTGGGGTACAGGCCAGAGATGTAGAGGGTGAGAGGATTCACCAGGGACAGAGTGGGGAGCAGAACAGGCAGATCGACAAAGTGCACTGCTGAGGGGAGCAGCAGGTGGGTCAGGAGAGGTCTGCCTCGCCTGCCATGTGGTCTCCTCCAGGGCAGGCGGGGATCGAACTCATGCGGAAGTGGCTTAAGCTTCTTTGTGCAGTGCTTTAACCCGCTGCGCCACCAGGGAGGGCCATAAGAGAGACTTTTTAAAAATGCACAGTTGAGGCCTAAGAAAGTTTGAATTAGAACAGCCACGTGTGGACAGGCAATGACACCTTGGACCTGTGAGGAGACACTGATACCACTACGGAACAGGGCCCTTGTAGGATTGGGCTCTCCCTCCAAGAGTGAGCCACAGAAGCTTTGCTTACTGTCTCAGGGTGGTGCTGAAGGTCATCTGTCTTCACCTGGACCTGGGGCTGGTCGGGTGATCAGTCTCCCCAAGAACCTGCAACAATGGACCTGCTCTCATATTGGGGTTTAAATTCATATTACTACATGGCCAGAGAACCTTCAAGCTAAAAGTAAGCCTTCGATAAAATTAAAACCCAAATCCACGAAAAAAAAACAACAACAACAGGTTGAAAGTTGAAAGGAATCTACATATTAGAAATGAAAATTAGGTTGGTTGAATATAAGCTCAATATATAAAAGTCAGTTGAATAGTCCTTTCATTCCCAATGAGGAACCAAAACTACAAGAAAGTAGAAATAAATCTAATAAAAGTTACAGAAGGCATATATACAGAAAATTATGACTTTATTGAAAGACAGTAAGGATGACTTAAATAGATGAAAGATAGGTTTAAAATCTTTAAATTGATCTATAGATCCAATACCATTTTGATCCAGCTATTCAAAGGTTTTCCAAAGAACTTGATAGCTGATTCAAAAACTTACATGAAACAGAAAAGTCCCAGAAGAATAGAGAGGCAGAGAGGAGAGCAGATTCTCCACTGTGCTCTGATGACCTCAGCGTGTGGGTACAGAGCTAGATAGCTTCTGACTTCTGAAACAGAATGGAAAGCCCAGAGCTGGGCCATACTTAACGTGAACACTTGTGTGTGTCTAGACCGGTGTGTCACAGATCAATGAGAGGGCTATTCAGTAAACTGGTTCTGAGACATTTGCTTACCCATGCAAGAA